CACCGAGTGAATTTTCAGCTCCTGACGACCCCATGTGACAGAGCAGAATGGTTCCATTTGGTATTCTAGGTTTCAGAAACCTTTCTGGGTACGGACTACCAAATCTTTTTCTTCCATGGGGTTCAGACTCATTAAAACTCAAACTGCCACAGAGTCAATTCTGACGTATAGTGACCCGATAGGACAGGGTACAGCTGCCCTGTGGTTTCCAAGACGGCAAGCCCTTAACTATAACGCCTGCATTTTTAATTTCAGGAAAAATAGGTTTTTTTGTTTTTATTTTATATTAAAAAGTTATTAATTTATTTATGCTTCATTTTCGTAGTTATCAATATATATATTAATATATACATTTTAATGAAATGTTCCGAAAACGTCGCGCTGGGCGTTCTAGGGTGCTGCGTGTAGAAAACCGCACCTCGCCCGCTGGGGCTCATTGAAGCCCGCACGTGGCACGTGGTGCTCTGTACGGCATTCTTCCGAATATGGCCGCGCGCAGAGCCGTACGGCAGCCCCGTTCCCTCGCCGGCTTCCGTAGGCCGGAAGTGCCTTTGCGCCCGCGGTGGGCAAGTCGAAAGCAGTTTGCGGAAGAAAGCGTCACTTGTCGTGACGTCTGTGGTTCCGAAGAGACACGGGTCGATTTGTTTTCTGCCCGTAGAGCAGCGCGAGGTAGGCGGGGGACCCCCGAGGACAGGCGCTTGCAGGGCAGCAGGTGGGAGTCGGTGCCTTTGGGGTCAGACCCGGCGAGCGCAGCGCCCCAGGGTGCCCGGTCCGTCGCAGGGTCCCCGGGGTGTTCGCGCTGCACCCCGCTCGGCTCGTCAGGGGCGGGGGCCGGGGTGGTGTCTGCGGCGAAGGCGGTGTCCGTCTGGACTGGGTGCGGGTTTTTTTAAATTGTTTTTATTTTACCACATTCTTTATTGTCACAACATTTGTTTCCTTTTAGAAATTCTATTGTCGTGTACATATTCCCCGCCCCCCCGCCTTTTCTAAACTGCCCAGCATTGAGTTAAGTGTGAAATTGCTTATTATGCTGTAATGAAGGAAGCTATTCGAATGCTTTTCCACACCGAAGACATTCCATGGGATAGAAGTACCCTGATCTTTTTAACGCAGGAAGAAAAGAATTTTAACGCAGATTTCGTGAATAGTATTTACTTCGTATCTTCCCAAGGATTTCAAGGGCAGATAGTTTCTCAAAAGTGGGTTTGGGTTGCTTTTTTGCTTTATACTTACATGAAACTTACAGATTTTTAAAAAATATGGAGGCACGTATCATTTCTCAAGAATCTAGCTTATCTTCAGTGGGTAGTTTTTCTGCTCTAGCGAGGTTGGGGATGGACCTCGATCATGGGCGGGGTGGAGGGTGGGTCCAGGCTCGCGTGAATGAAGGGCGGGAGGGGGGTCTGTGTCTGGCACAGGGGATTGCAAGGACGCAGCTGTGGAAACCCAGGATCCTAGGGTTTTCTAAATGCACCCAAAGGCGGTGTGTTCCCCAACTCCGTTGCAATCAAGAGATGGATTCCTTGGCAGTTTTTGGCACATCTTAGTTTTGTTTTCCACTTAAGACAAAAACAGGAACACACTTGCT